ACGGACAGGAGCTTGAAGCGACGTCCCTCCTCGTCAACAATGTCCCGGCCCTTTGTGTGCAGCGGCAGCGAGTACGTGTCGATGCTGGTCTCCTGGGCCGGAGGTAGTAGGGGCCGCTGCTGGAATAGCTGGGCCTCCGGGTCGGGCACCCAGGGGACACCGAGAGCAGCCTCTGCTCTCCACAAGTAGTGGACGTAGCCGCCGAGGAAGACGAGGGACAGTATGAGAAACATTCTAAAGGACGAGAATCTGACGAAGCCAAGGTGGCAGGTTCTCTTTCTTAATCTCGAATGTGTTGTTGCTGTTGGTGCAGAAGGCTGGGGTGAGGTTGAGATCTTGCGGAAGAAGAGGCCGGTGGAGGCTCCATGATCTTCTGTTGTCGCAGAATTGTCTATGCTCGGGAGGTAGACACCACCTCTAGCTGGCGGAGTGCTCGGTTGCTCGATGTCATCAATCGGCGTCCCAGGTTGGGGACGTCCCGCGCTCCAGCGCCAAACCCTGGCTGGCGTGCCGGGGTTCAGCTTGAAGATCTCGGAGAACGGCATCACTAATATTCCGATAAGATAAGCGATAAGGTTGGGTTGTGGGACTTGTGGTCCAATCAGTGGAGTCCGGTGTCACCACCTTGAGAGCTGAGAGGTGAGTCCGCTGAGAGGCTCCCCTTGGCGGGATCGGGAAGCGGTGGGCTTGTGCGGGAGGTGGTGGTGTCAAGCCGGGCCAAACTAGTCCCTTTCCAGCGCCAGCCCTGCTGCAAGGACAAAGCCTCAAATCCGACGGACGACGGACGGGGGTTGCAGACTGCAGAGCTTGTCCCGACGATGCCGATAACCTAACAAACGGGCAAGATGACCTCACACACCTTGAACCTGCCTGTGTTCTGCTTTTGCTTTTCCTTTCTCCCTGTAACGAGGTGTTCCTTACTTTTTGATCTCCTTGAGAGACTTTAGCCTGAGCAGGGTATAAGAACGTTTCGACCACGTGCTCGGGAACGCAACGCTTCAATGTTCGGACTGCTCTTTTCGTTCCTTCGAGATGTTCCCTTTTCGTCTCGTTTTGATGTCGTCCGGTGAAACGCTCACACCGAATACGCGCACAGCCCTTGTAGACGTCAGGCCGTTTCCGTCTTGGCGGTATTGATAGGTTTCTTACTCTCTGTCTGATTTCCCTTCCCTTCTTTTTTTCCCCCTTCTCGGCCAGGTTCCGCTGCCGTCCGTTGTTTTCGCTTTCGGTATGTTACTCGATTCCACCCAACTTCCAGGCCAAAACCTCAGTACCGTCCTCAGTCGTTGATGGTCGACAGTTCTGAAGCTGACTGAAACGTTTTTCTTCTGTTTCGTAGTTCGTGGTGGCTTGGATCAAGTGAATTCAGAAACCCAGTCGGTTCAGTATCTGAAACGATAACTTGGTGGATGAGTGTCCTTGTCGTGTAAGCTAGGATCAACAGTTCGTCGTCGTTGATGCCTCGTCGTCAGAAGTCATGCATACGTCTCGGTCAGAGTCCCTCAGTATAAATGACGAGACTTTTTTTTTTTTTTTTTTTGGTTACAAGATCAAGAAAAAAGGGGCTACATTCGTACGTGAAAATTCCTTCCTTTTGGAAGCCCAACCTACTTATAATCAGAAGAATGGGCAGATGAGTGAAAAAGTCCGTCCACTGCCCGAACAGTCAATCTGCACTTCCCGCTTACATCACATAAGCCTAGCAGAAGTCAAGACCTGGGTCCCTCCGAAGAAGCCGGAGCGGAAGGCATTGGGATGCAATGGAATTGGATGACATGGCACTTGATCAATGGCTCGCTCCAATGCGATTGCTGAGATTTGTTTGGCCCCCCTCCGCTGCTGCTCCTCGCATCACTCGTGAAAACCCCGACCATTCCGCATCTTCCGGGCGGGCTTATCCCATAATCCCACCCACAGCAACACCACCACCACCACCATCCTTGTTCGGTAGTTTCCTCATGTTTCCACCCATTGGGCCGTTAGGAAACTCAGGACATGCACAATCCGGTACTTGATAAGGCCATCTCGCATTAAATTGTCGCGTGACTCTTCTATTTTTCGGACTCTCAACTGCTCCTACATGTCCGTCAATCGTGATTCGTTCCGCCGATCCCGTTCCCTCTCCCGCCCCGATACTGAAGCGCCGAGGCCCATGGCCCCCATCCATCAATAAGAGAGAGGCTCCCGCCGCCGACCTTCCCACAGTCCTTTCCTTCGGGTCTTTAAATTGTGGGGGCAACGTACTCTTCGCATTCCTTCGCGGCATAAACGAGACCGAGACGCCGACGCTGATATTACATTGATTTTTTCTGACATATTGACATGGCCGATGAGGCCGGTGGTTCCTCCACATTACATCATCTTTCTCAAATCTTCTTGCGACACTGATCAGTGTTCATCGTCAGCGCGGATCAGCGCGGGCAAAGATCCAACTTCGGCCGAATCGTGCCGCCCCTTTCATGTTGTCGGGTATTGTTGCGCGCTTAAAAGCAGGCGCTTTAAATATGGTTTCGTCCGATTTCAGACGCATTGTTCTCTCCGTTTTTATTTTTTTTTGTTCTCTTCTTCTCGTTCCGTCATGACCAGCCGCTTCGTCTCATTATATACGGTTCATCCCAAGTGGGTTCATGTCATCGAAGCCGTCCCCTCGGGATCGTGATTCGGGCCGAGCGTAAGTTGCTCGCGCGTCCCAGGTGGGAGGTGTTTGCGGCGGTCGAGGACTCGAGAACGACCGCATCGGCGGCTGATAGCGAGCGGTCTGCCCAAAGTAATCCGGCGTTCTTCGTCGTTCGCTGTTGGGACTTACGATAGGGGATTTGACTGGAGAGATTGGTGTTACAACAGCGCTCGAGTCTCTGGACAGCATCTCGTACGCACGTGTGTCTTTCTTGACATCGTATCTGGCATCCACCGATACGAATTCCTTTTTGTTTCTGCCTAGGCAGGAGGTGAAAAGGTCCACCCAGCCAAGGACCATGGCCCAGCGACCCAGTAGGAAGAGCAGCCAGATACCATTCATCTGGATCAAGTCAGTCACCCGAGAAAGTGTACAGGGCATAGGGGCGCGTCACTTACCGCCAGAAGGATGAGGACCGCCGTAATAGTTGCCTCGTTGACAACCATGTTCTTAGCCTTGTCCAAACACTTCGTTCTGTCACCTTTGGTGCTGACAAGACAGAGAATCCAAGCCTGGGCTATGCTCTCGTCGTCATGTACTGCCTGGACCGTGTTGTCCTGGAACACGAAGACGACAGAGAAGAAGATGACGTCGGCAATGATGATGAGAACAATAGCAATACCTCGCCATTGGAGAGAAATGACACGTCGCACTCGGCGGTATGCTTGACGGGGGCTCATGGTCTGGATGCTATTGCTGTATGTGGGCAAGCTCGACCCTTCTGTCGACGCACTGTTATCCGCTAGGGAAGCAAGATAGACCTTGATACAATATCCGAAAGTGGCGAATTGGATGATGACCGTGAGACCGGCGAATACCAGCAGAGGTATCCAGAAATCGGCAAGACTGTTCTTGTGGTTGATGTGACAAGTAGCGCCGAATCGGAACGACACGCCACTGAAGACGAGGGCAACGACGATGCCAACAAGCGGAATACCCCAGCCCGTAGCTTGGGCAAAAATCATAAAGTTGCGGCCCACGACAACTTGCCAACAAATCTGGAGATGCAGGGACAACGATCGCAAGAAGACCCACATGACACCGGCCCAGCCTCCGAGCAAGAGAAAGGCCCCAGAGGCACCACAGACTTTGCTAGACTTCATGCTGTGCGGTGTGATGTCGTTGTAGCATTGCTCCGGTTGATCAGCAAGTGGCACGACGAAGCCAAGCTGAAGGGGAAGTCAGTCTCCCTCGTCCCTATTCGAAGGGCGGGCTACTTACGTTCATGATGAACACAGCTATTGTCAAGCAAATGCTGAGGTAATGTCTGTAGGTTTTATCAACAGGCAGAAAAGCCCATGATATCAGGAGGAAGAGACAGCATGCTGCGCTAGCGACGCAGACCCAGTTGGCTGCCGTCGTCAGAGTGTTGAAGTAATCCGGGTAGACCCAGTCCGTAAGCGGGCAGGGCAAGCAACACTGTAAGGTCGCGGTCAAGTTTTGGCATAGCCGGCCTTCGATAACTATGAAAGGTCAACAACTTGACCCGTCATGCTGTAGCTCATCAAACTTACACCCTTCGTCGATTGGAAACAAGCTCGCAGAGTAGAATGGGATGGGGCAGCCTCCCCTTGCAAGAGATTCGTTGGCCATGGTCGAATTATAGCTGACGGGCGACTGAAATATGTACGGCCGTTCAAATTTCCGTTCGTTGTCGAGTTGGGCAGCCGCTTGATGATGGTCCTGTTCTAGTGGCCAATACTACTTTGGACAATGCGTGTACGAGTATCGCAGTATAGCAATGGTGCTCAAGCGTAGTGATATATCGTAGCAGTGATGATCGTAGTCCTGACGGCTGTTTTCGGTGTCGAATGCCCTCTAAATGGCGTGTAGTTCGAACAATTTCCCCAAGTAACGTCCTCAGTCCCGCTGAAGTTCAAGTTTTGTCTTTACTTGAACCGTATTCCCAGATATTCGTATATGTTCCGGCGAACTAGGTAGGGCGAGCGGCGTCTAAGTTGTCGGCGAGATTTTGCAGCATGGGACAGAGACGTCTCTGGCTATATCGCTACCGTCATGGTCCGTAATTGGAGGACAGGTCAGGGCGATGCCGGTTGATGGTAGCGTAGCAACAGCAACTCGGGGTATCAAGGAGAGACGTGAGCAGAAGCAACGACGAAGGAGCCCAGAACCGATCAAGAGGACCCTCGAGCGAAAAGAAGGAGGGTGGGACATCATTATGTACATCGATGCGTGGGCTACTGGGTAGTGTCCGCTCAACTTTCTGCAGAGGCGTGCGGGTGTGTGGTGTCTGTCTGTCTGTCTCTCTCCTTCACTCGGCCGCTGTGGTGTGTACTTCGTAGTGTACTCCGTACCATCAGGTTCAACCAGTCGCGGCGCTGGTCCCGGGGTCCAGGCCAGAGATGCTGGGGTACCACGACTCCACGGACCAGGCAGGACTCGGGAACGGGTATTTTGCGTGTGATGGGTCGGCCAACTCTGGGACTGACATGGGCAGGCTACTTCGTACAGTATAGTTGGGCGTGGACAGGGGCCAATTAGGGACATAGACTAGGTGACGATGATGGGCGTCCTTGTAGGAAAAATCCCGACGACCCTCTCTGGCGGCGACGGTGGGACGGAACTCAGCGAGCTTCGCGTGAGGCGATGCATCGTCGTCTGCATGCCCTATTGGGGAGGCGACAGTCTTCATGGCAGGGGTGTGGAGGTTAGCGTGAGAATGGAATTGAGGGATTGATGGACCAGGCCCAGGATGGAAGAGAGGCACAGGCACAGCAAGAGGAGAGGAGGGTTTTCATGGCCTTCCATTGTGTTGTTGGATTCGAGGGACGCTAGGAGGGAGGGTGAAGTCTGGTGGGGTAGGGTGTGGATTTGATGGCCGCCGACCAGGGACTGGGAAGGGGAAAAAAAAAAAAAAAAAAAAAAAAAAGAAGCACCAAAAGGAGAGGGGAATTGGAAGAGGAGGAGCGCTTGGTGCAATAAGCAGAGGGACGGACGCAGGAGATGGAGGAAGAGGAGGAGGAGGAAAGCCTGAAAGAGGGGGGAGGGGTGTACTTCGTAACCACTGTTGTGAAAGGGGGGCGTGAACGTGGGAAGAAAAGATGGGGCGTTGTTAACAGACCCACATCGGCGGCCGGGGGACTCTCGACCTGGCCGGGCTGCTGTCGTGTGGCCGGGAAATCCACCTCCAGACTGCTCAGGTACTCCGTACTGCGTGGCTGCTCACCTCGCTCCAGTTAAGGTGCTGCATCTTCCGTGGCGGACCAAATCCTGGATGCCCATCGAGTAACCCCACCAGCAGAGAGACCAGTCAAGGCCGCAGACAGGCCTCAACGAGGGTATTCAGTGGATCTTTCTCCCGGTGTTGTTCAGCACCTGTCCACAGTCCACGGCGTCCCGCTAAATATTTCACCACTCACAATGCGCACAACCCGTGTCGACAAGTGTGCTGAAAACATTCCTGGGCACCTTTACGGAGTATCACCCAGATGCAATATCTCGGTTGGCTTGAAATGTGCTTCTGCAGTCCCTCATTCATCAATGCCTTTCATCACGCGAAGGGGGCACAGCACGAATTGCCCCTGGTTTGATGGGCACCATGCCGTCCAATTTGCCTTCCAACATCTTGTCATGGTGGCTTTTCCCTCTCTCTCTCTCTCTCTCTTTCCATGACTCTTCGTTTCTTGGACTGCTCAGCTCTCCTTCCACAATTGTCCATCCTGTTCCTGCCAAGTTGGCATATAGTGGGCGGTGGCGTTGCCCAAGGCAGGTTGAGGATGAATACTCCGTACCTTCCAGGTTGAGTACGAAGACTTTCCGTGTTGATAATAACGCAACCAAGGTAAGCTGGTGAGGAAGGCATGGAAGGAGTCACATCTTCTCTGCAGTTGCCCGTCACCCATGTCCCGTGTCAGACATGACATAAGGTAAAGTTCGACGGCTGAATTGGGAAAGATCACTGCGAGCCCCTCGCACTCCCCTGCCTCCGTTTTTCATGCTCTTCACGCGTCGAGCCTATCATTCGAGCTATCCAGCTAGGTCCCTGTGATGTGCTCTCTTGCCGCCGTGGCCGCTGCGCGCCGGCCGCCGCCTCTACTCAACCCCAACCGCGTGACCCAATCTTGGACCACCTAACGACCCCGATCTGAAAGTTGGCCTCGATTCAACCCTCTCGTTCTACGGATACCGCAGTCTTTCGTCTCTACGGAGATCTTATTTCTGGTCTGGTCTGGTCTGGTCTGGTCTAGTCGAACAACATTCGGCAAATCGATCCCCAGAAAACTCAAACAAAGCATGCCGCGCATGGCTTTTCAAGGCCTCCCGCCAACCCAATCGAGGGCTTTCACTAGCAAATTCCAACAGTGCCGTGCTCTGCCGATGCCACCTCACCTCAGCCTCTACCAACCGTTCATGCCTTGGGGCTTATAACACGCCCAGCTATCGACGCTGTCTACGCTGTACACATGGTGTGGCGCGTATCGGATGCACCACCGACCGTCAGTTGACTCAGATCCCTCACCTCCATCACCGACCGCTCCCTCGGCACGGCAGCGAGCGAGACATTGCCAGTCGAATGTCTCTCACTGACGTTTCCCTCGTTGCAATGCGCCTGCGTGTCTCACCTTAGCCCTTGCCATCACGAAGAGCCCGGTGACAATCATGGCTCGGCTTCAGCTTTGCCCGGCATCTCTCACCGCTTTAGCTTTGCTTCCTGACTTTACGATTCTCTTTTGCGATACTCCAGCAACGAGATGGATCGAAGCAAGCCGAACAAACCACTTTAGCCATTTCCCATTGTTTGGTACTCGAGCGAGCGTTTCGAAGGCGGCTGAGCCATAGCTAAAAGCTGCGTGGCTAGTGCCCGCGAGTCAGCTGAATAGCGGCTTTTTGAAATCCCAGCCTTCTGGTGCTGCTGGCAAAGTGCCGAGAACGTGCGTGCCTCTCGCTGTGCACAGACAAGTTACCAAAGCAAAAGGAACCAGAAGTGACGCCAGGTGCGCTTCTTCTGTTTGTGTACCTCGTCGAATCGGTCTATTCCGCGACCAAGAATAAACGCAACGTGTTGACGACTCTTTGCCACGTTGGCCCACATTCAAATCCGGACGTTGCACTTTACTGCCACTTCACAGAAAACGCCTCTTAATGTCTGTCAATATAGTCCTTGGCCACGTCAAAGGCCCGACATGGCACCCCTGGACTTACAAAGCTGTAACGCTTCTATGAATTCTCTGTAAGGAGTACGGATACCCACGGCTCGTACGTACTTACATAGCAGAGGGAGGGCAAAAGCAGCCAGCCGATTTTAGGGCTGAGCAATGCCTTGCCTGTTGCGTCGCTTGTCCAGCTGAAAGGGAGGCAAACCATCGGCTCCCCTTGCTTGTCCGCAGGAACCTCATGTCTAGATCTTCTCTCAACGGTGAGAGAAGCAGAAGTGCCAAATCGAGAGAGACACAGAGGAGACAAGCAAGGGGGGTTTCACGTACTGTCTCGCAGAAGTCTTGTTCCAACCTTCAAGCATGCCCAAGAGCGAAGCCGCAATTGTGCCAACTGCGACTAACGTGGTGGCTTCTGTACTCAGCAGCTAGCACGCAGCATGGGACGAATGACCACCATAAAAGAAAGACAACGATCGCTGGCAACGTACCTCTGTGGACACCCGTCTTGGTTTCCAACCAGCTCCAACTATCCGAAGAGTGTAATGACGGTCTTGCGATTCCGCGCGGGGAAGAAATGCTAGCAGCCATGCCCATTGCCTGCAACGAGTCTTCCGAAGACCTTGTTGTTGTTGGTTGCGATGTTTTAAGGGCCAAGACCAACAAGCACACTCAGAAAAGGGGGCTCCACCGTTCATTTTGCCAGGCGCCTTCAATCTCAAGAAACCATGCTAAGGCATGTCAATTGCCATGGCGTTCGGAGCCCTGTCAGCCAAAAAGAGATCTCTGGGGCAAGATCCCGGTGTTCCATCACTTTGGAAGCGTGAATGGATGACCATCTACGGAGCAGATTGACCAAGTGCGCGCACAAAGACGAAGTTTGCTTCCTAGCAGCCTGGAAGGCAAGGCTTGGCATTCAGCTCCCACTCCACCTGGATCACGAAGCGCTACAGCTCCAGGTTAAGGTGACCATGATCGTTATGGTCGTCAACGATTTTGTGACCCGAATCAATCGTCAGCGCGCATACGCCGCCGAGTCTTCATATGGGCGTGCCGTCCCTGAGCCTCTCAGCGCCCACGAAGCGATCGGAAAGATGTGAATGGCCAATGTGTCTCATTGCGTTGCCCATACGAGCCCCTGCTTTGCAGATCGATTGGCAGTCACCGTGGAGCACAGCGCTGGAGCAAAGCTGGTGGGGTTGTGCTTCTCTTCGCTTGGCTCGGCCAACCACGAGGCCCAACAACCTGGAAATCATTCCAATCGACCGATGCGAAAGGATGGCCTTGAAGTCGCTGGATTGTGTGCTTCATTGACGGGTTGAGAAGCCCTAAGTGCTTCCTCCGAGCCTAGGACCCGTTGAGCAAAAAGCAAATTTCAACTCGTGTCTCGGCGCGCCCTACAGCTCAATGCCCGTCACTGCAGGTTCTGAACCATCCTGACTTCTGCATGAGCTACGCAGACGTACGTCTTTCGCAGCGCGGAATGATGTGCCTGACATAGGGGTGCAGCCGACACTGCGCAGCGCGGTAGGAGAGACTTCCCGCAGCTCCGCGACCCTTGATGCCACCCCCTCGAGTTGGTGGTCCCCTGTTCTTGCACAGACATGTCCATTTCGGTCAGCCAAAGACGACCACCCAGCAGCAGTCCCACCCACACCTTTTACCCCTGGCACACCACCCCGCAACACGCCTCCACCACCACAAATCACAATCACCACCACCACCATCGCAGACTCCTGCTCAGCTAGCCTGGCGTGCCTGGGCGTCACAAAGGTGTCTTCATCTACGGATATTAGTCTCTACCAGACGGCGCACTAGATGAACCAGCGCACTATAGTGGCTCTGTAGCCGCGGACTGGTGACATCCGACAAAGTTTAACTCAGTATGAACCTCAATGCACTATCGAATAGGGATTTCCGCAAGTCCAGCGATGACATCGATGTTCGGATAAGGAGAGGAAGGGTTTCGAAATCAATCCCATCGGTCACTGGTTCGGCGTATACGGCTCATGTCATTTCTATCTGCCCTACATCCATGACCCGGGTGTCAGGCTGAGGATGAAAGTTGGCAGTCTCGAAACAGCATTGTACACAGTAGTTCGGTACGGCAAGCCGCATCGCCGGAATATCTGCACAAAGTGGAAGGCGGTTTGATCGACTGTACCCGTCAGATATCTGAGATTCAAGGCATCCATCCTATTGGCTCGAGTTGAACTTATGGGCTGTCAAATCGTCTGGATTGTCAACTTCGCAACCAGGTTGAGGCGCGATCTGAGTCGTCACAGCTGCAGGGTCGAAAACCACTTAGACAAGGAATTGCAGTCACCTTCTTGATTGACCGTTCAGAATCCCAACAGTGTGCCTCAGAGTCGATAGCGCGCAGGCTGTCCTGTCACATCTGCTGAATACAAGACCTTCCAATACCAGAAGCTACGGGTAGGGGTCCTAGCTTGGCGTTGGCGTTGGCACTGTTTTGTTGTGACAGCCTTCGGAAGAGCTTCTCGAACATACGGAAATGCGGAAGTGCCGCAAATATGTCGCTCGGCCGCGATTTTGGGTCCAGACAACGAACGCAACCTTAGCTTACATTCAAATGACAAAGCCGAATTTTCGTCATTTCCGTCATATCATTATGGCAAACGACATGGCGTCAGCCAACCTCTAGGTTGTTTGGAATATCTTGCGCATCGACAAACCCGTTGCCCGGATCGGATTGGTGCGCTGAGCAACAATACTCGATTCTGCTCCCGCCAGCGACCAGCTTTATTTCGGTCTCAGACAAAGAGCCCCTTAGGAAATTGCGACAACTTCTTGAGTACGGCATACCAGAGGGACCACCATCTCAATTAGGGAATCGACTCTTTCCGGAAAGGTTGAGGATCCGGACCACTCGGGGAAGAGGCTTGACCACATCGTCGGGTCCTGAAGCCGAATCATTGTCATCGCGAGAGCCCCGCTGTATGCATGCTCAATGTAACAGCTACCGTGGTCTACGAGCCTAGCCCTTGCCGACAACAAGAAGAATTTTCTGAAGCGAGCAAGCCAATGACCAGCATTGTTTCGCTGGTTGCACCGACTTCAGCATGAGAATTCCTATCCTGTTATCGCAGTAGAGGAAGACATACACGGCTCACCTGTGACGTCGGTACCAGATAATGGAACGGCAACGGATGACCGACAACTTCCCTTGGACCTACGAGGTATGGTCTACCGAATCAATGGTGGATTACGCCACGACACCCAACGCCCAACGCCCGGCTCTAGTCACAGCATGGCCGGGTAGGCTCTAACAAGATCCTCGGTGAGAGGCCCGGAGCCGGACCAGATCGCCAAGGTAGCTCGGGGGCGGGCTGGCTGGCAGACGGCGTCCACCATGATCGATCCAAAAATGAGAAGCATGTCTCCTGTTGCGATAGAAACACTGATCGAGTCAGATCCATTGGCTGCAGGCATCAATCATCAGACACTGCGGACCCTGAATGAACGCGATGATGACACTAGAGCCGGCCGTAATACCTACCGTTGATGGTATACGTCGCCGTGGTCCATCCCGAACCGCCAAGGCCCGTCGGGGTTTTAGGTCGTTCCCCTTGCAATGAGACTCGGGTTACAGTAAGAAGACACGCACGAATAGACCATGGAGTCCCCCGGGTAAAATACACGGAACAAGAGGCGCCTATCGAAGCCTGAAAGAGTCTTGGAGGGAAAAACCACTCAGATCCGTGGGAGGCGTAGACAGCGCCGACCGAGCGGGTCCGGCACCGGGCGACCAGCAATTTTCGGGAGGTCGCTAAAGGCGGGCGGAACGGGAAACTAGCCCCATTTGGCCAGCCTCCCGAAATGGTAATCCAGGGGCAGCGAAGCGTCGAAGCTACGCCGCACTCCGCATGCCTGGTGGCCGAGTGGTAGCCGGCCAAGGACGCGTCGGCCTCTCATCAAGCTTCTAGGGCGCACCTTGAAGAATTCCGTCAACGGCTGTCAGTCGCGGGTAGTCGCTTGTCTACACTAACGTGGTACTAACAGTACGAGGTGCTTACCTTACCATAGTGTGGTACGGAGGACAGAGTAGAGGCTATGGATGGGCTCACACCTTTCTCGAGAGGGCGCCCCGCCAATGAACCCAAGCCGAGATCTCTATTCCCCTCATCAATGCGTGACGACACATCCTGATATCAAGAGCGACGCTCGTAAGCACGCGTTCGTCACGGCAGGCCCACCGGCTCACTCGCATAGGTCCACCGTCCACCCAGCAAGCCGTAGAGCCTGTCCTCTCCGATCTTGAGTTCTCAGAAAAGGCAACGAAGCACACAAGGGGAACGGCTTCCGCTACCCGGGTCCGGATGCCACCCACATGGCGTGCCTGTGAGCACGTAGTGTACAGTGCAGCGTGGCATAGGAAGCGAGACGTTCCATCGAGACTGGAACCCGTCATGCCATCCTCTCTCGTCAGCCGCAAGATGGCATCGAAGAAGAGAAAACGACTGGTCGCCTTGCGAGACTTCAAGAGACAATTCTTGTCGGCCCAGGCGCGGGGCATGTGTGGGAGCGGAAAGGCTTCGCCGCGCCGGGAGAATGTCCATTTTGCAACAACGGCAGGGTGCTATTCGGGCACCCTCGAGAACGTGATTCGACCTCGACCGAGTTTTCCTCGGCATGCAGCCCATTGCTCACATCCGATGGGGGTAAGTCACAACATGCGGATGGAAGTATCTATATCCGTACCAGTCTACACTGGCGCACAAGAAAGCAACAGCAGACGGCCCCTCTTTGGGCCGCAATATATCAACGTGCCCTTGAAGCAAATGCCGCTCGGGGGCTCGGAGCAGTGTAAACCTTATCAACTGTCAAAGTATTGAGAGCGGAGGCATTTACGATTGATTCGGACAAAAGAAAAAAGGCTCGTCCACTTTTCCAAGGCACCTTATCCACGTCGCGCCCCGGGAACATGATCGCATCCTGGGCAGACTTTACAAAGACCAGGACTAGGTACTTTTCCACCACGTTCATCCCATCCACTTCTCCACTAGATTTTTGTTCTTACCCCTGGCGCCCCAAAGAACTTTTGGGTCTTTGCCCCCCTCCTCAAAATCTCGAAAACCAACGGACCAACGGTTCCACTGCCTTCCAAAAGAAACAAAGCAACAATGTGTCAGACTGGCCAGGGCCGAGCTCGTACCCATGATATGGTAATTCTAGCCAATGGATCGCCCTAATTGTTGAGCTGTTTGCCTGTCAAAATACCAGGTTGAAAAGGAAGCCGGGAAGCTTGCCCCCGCGAAACGATTTCATTAAGCAGGGCTTTGCTTGACGCGATGCTCTTTTTGGTTCTCAGCCCATGGCGGGCTCGACTTGAATCCACAGAGCAGGCGAATAGGCAGAATAAACCTTGTGGATTAGAGCCGAGCACATGGCTATCCTCCCTCAAATATATGAACCTCTGGTCAAAGAGGCAGCATTAGTGGTACGATGACGACGATAAGAGCCAAACTTCACTGCAAAATTCGACGTCTATTCAGGAGCTCACATGAAACGCTGAATCGACAGATATGGGCTGCCACCTCCACGCTTCTGGTTCGGGACGTCGAAGCAGCTTCTACCTGGGACAAAGAAACCCAAAGCCCTTCGTGCAGCTGATCTTGACCGACCCCCTTCAGAAGAGTCTTCTTACGGATTAGATGCCAAGGCACGGCCCACCACACGATTTTGCCATTTAGCCTTCATTTGGTCCTCCTTGAAAACCTCGCACCCACGACTACGAACTTCATGGAATCCTTCAAATTTCCAGGATGTGTATGCACCTCAGATGCAGGCACAAGTCGCATTGAGGCCGCGGGCCGTAGGTGTGGTTGGTCAAAGTAACGTGAAGGGTGTGTAAGATGCATCTTGGCATCGCGGGTACACGCCATGCACTCGCAGATGCTTACTGAGGAGGTCGTAGGAATCGCATCACTATTCATCCCCCCTTCCACGAGGCCGGGTTGGGGGCCCTTTTCTGCACTTACTATGCAACGATCTATCGGTCTCCGCATGCCGTCATGGTTGTTCTCTATTGTTTCACGAAGCCTGGCCCCCCGAAGTTGTGCCTTGGGAGTGGAACCTCTTTCGGAGGATCAGACAAGAAGGTCCCCTCTTGTCAATCGCCCAGCCTTCTTTCTCATGGTCCATGGCCCGCCAGGGCGGTGCTCACGCCTTAAGAAGACTGACGGACATGGGAATTGGCTGGTCCGATTGAATCCTCCAGAGGGCCGAGTCCTGGTAAGGAAAGGCGCAACGGGTCTCTTCTCAATTCTCACACCGGGAGCCTTGCGGCCTGGGGAAGCGCCGGTCGACTTTCTCCAAGAGGACATGGTATGACTATGGGAGACGAACTATCAAGGGCCGCGATGCGGAGAGGAGCGATGAGGCTTGCGGGAACCCGCGGGAGCTCATTTCACGAATGATTTCCCCGATTCTGCAGAGGGGTCTGGAAGAGGAGAAGCTGACCGGTCTCTGGTCTTGGTACGCGGCACAGCTTATCAACGCGACGCACCTGCTTTTTCATGTACATGCGGTTGGAATCAACAACATGCAGGCCAAGAAATCTATACAGGAGGCCCAGGCCGCGGATGGCGTTCGCTAGAAAGCCTAGAGGAAGAAAGGGAGGGCAGCAAAGTGAAAGGTAACGGACGACCACAAACGCCCCATGAGCTGTTTGCCCTACGGTAATATGCCACCCCGGATTCCTCCAACTGTCGATGTTGGGAGAGTTTATCCCACTCACACGCCGTCTGACAATTCATTTCGCGAAATTAATCCGCTTGTGGACTGTGCGTCTGGGA